CCCCCCCCCCCCCACAAAAAAAAAAAAAAAAACCTAAAAAACCCCGCGGAAGTCCCAAGCTGGCGCTCCTGGGGCCGGGTCAGCAGAGGCGGCGCTCGGGCTCCAGGCGCCCGCCGGGGCGAAGGCCAAAGCCATGGCTCCGCTTTGCGGACGGGAGGCCCGGAAGAAGGAGCGGCTGCGGAGAGGGGTTTGGGGTTTAGGGTTTGGGGTTTAGGGTTTAGGGTTTAGGGTCTAGGGTTTAGGGTCTAGGGTCTAGGGTTTAGGGCTCTTATAGGGCTTGTAAGCGACAGGGTGTTTGTAAACGCCAGGGTGCTGAGATGAAGCTGTAGTACCCAGTAACTTCGAAGTCTCAAAGGGCTCACGCCCAGAGTAGGTTTGCTTTTGAAGCTTTGGACTGCAGCGTGCGGGTCATATAGAGCCAAGAGTAACCCCATGAATCCCCCCCCCAACACGTCACAACCCTTAAAACCCTGAAACCCTGAACTCACAAACCATAGGTTCTCCATCAAAAACCCGTCAAACCCAAACAAATACTTCTTGAACCCTCAAACCCTCAAACCCCTTCAAGCCTTCTAGCCCTTGAAGCAGCAAGACCCTTCAAAGCATGCCAGCCCGAGACGAAGGAAGCCCTCGGCCCTCTCCCCCCCCCCCCCCCCCCCCCCCCCCCCCCCCCCACCGAGCTGCAGGCGGAGTTGCCCCTTCGCTATCCTGGACCGGAGCTTCCCAGAAATAACCAAGGAACGGTTGAAGCTAGCGGATCAAATACCGGGAACTCATCGATTCCTTTCCCCTGTCCCCCATAACATGTGACGTGGCAAGTTGTGGAAAATGTAACGCAAAAAAACTGACGTTTGCCATTCTTTTTGAGTAAGTGCTTGAAGGAAAACGGTGGTGGCTTCGGCCTGTCTGCATTAGCCTCGACGGCTCGGGCTTTCACATTCAGCTCCAAAGAGCTGAGATGGTTCACGCCCAAAAAACATAAACCCCAAGCAACTTGGGGGTTTAGGGTTTAGGGTTTAGGGTTTAGTTAGGGTTTAGGGTTTAGGGTTTAGGGTTTAGGGTTTAGGGTTTAGGGTTTAGGGTTTAGGGTTTAGGGTTTAGGGTTTAGGGTTTAGGGTTTAGGGTTTAGGGTTTAGGGTTTAGGGTTTAGGGTTTAGGGTTTAGGGTTAGGTTTAGGGTTTAGGGTTTAGGGTTTAGGGTTTAGGGTTTAGGGTTTAGGGTTTAGGGTTTAGGGTTTAGGGTTTAGGGTAAAGGGTAAAGGGTAAAGGGTAACAGCCCAACCTCATAGAGGCCCCTCGAAAGCCCCAAAGAAGCCACAGAAAGCTCTACAAATCCAAAGCCCTCAGATTCGTTGCCTTGGCAAGAAGATCGGCGTGCTTGGCTAGAAGTGCCTCAATGAGCACCTCGATGGGGGGCGTTGAGTCGACTTTTTGGCTTTAGACCTCCAAAGACCCCCCGCTGCTCTTGTGCCCCAATTCAAACACAAGCTTGTGGCCTCAAACCAGAAGCACAAAAGTCCCCTAAACCCTAAACCCTAAACCCTAAACCCTAAAGCCTCCAGTCCTGCACACTAGAGTCCTGAACCCTAAACCCTAAACTGGCACCGTAAACCCTGAGCTGGCCCAAAAAACCCTAAACCCTACCCTAAACCCCAAACCCCAAACCCTACACCCTAAACCCCAAACCCCAAACCCTACACCCTAAACCCTAAACCCCAAACCCTAAACCCTAAACCCCAAACCCTAAACCCTAAACCCCAAACCCTAAACTCGAAACCCTAAACCCTAAACACCCAAGAGTCCCGGGCCGCCGTTGCTCCGGCTGGCGCAGAGCCGTGGCTAACCTTATGATTGGATCTTGGAGGTGTGCAGGGGTTTAGGGTTTAGGGTTTAGGGTTTAGGGTTTAGGGGTTTAGGGTTTAGGGTTTAGGGTTTAGGGTTTAGGGTTTAGGGTTTAGGGTTTAGGGTTTAGGGTTTAGGGTTTAGGGTTTAGGGTTTAGGGGTTGAGGGTCAGTCATGGGCCTTGGGGCTGAGGGTTAGGGGGGTTCGGGGTCCATAGGGGTCAGGGATTCGCGCTCAGGGCTTCAGAGCTCGGAATTGCGAGGGTTTAGGGTTCAGGGTTTAGGGTTTAGGGTTTAGGGTTTAGGGTTTAGGGTTTAGGGCTTCGGGTTTAGGGTTTAGGGTTTAGGGTTTCGGAGCCGACATCCCTGAAGCCTCGACCGGCGAGACCGGCCAGCATCCCTCGTAGAGATGCAGGATGATCAGCTGCCGGCTTTCGGGTTTGGGGTTTGGGGTTTAGGGTTTAGGATTTAGGGTTTAGGGTTTAGGGTTCAGGGCTCGGGGTTTAGGTGCTGGATTGCGCAGACATGCGTCCCAGCTACCACAGGCCCCAGCGTGCTTTAGGCCTAGCGGTTGTGGAAAACCCTAAACCCTAAACCCTAAACCCTTAACCACCCTAAACCCTAAACCCTAAACCCTGACCTTTCAAGAGGTGAAGGAGACGGTGCTGTCCTACGAGGTCTCTACTCGCGCCCTTGGTGACTTTTCGGGGAAGCTGCAAGCTATGCAAGATGGGGGAAAGGGAAACAAGGGCCAAGATGGGCGGCGCCCACCCAAAGGTTCGAGCAAAGGTAAGGGAGCTGGAAAAGGAACAGAGGAGGAGAAAGGCAAAAGCAAAGGGCACGCAAAGCGCTCGTCCTCACAGGACGCAGACAAGAAGCAAAAGGGCGATGGTCCGTGCTATGAGTGCGGTGGCAAGGGCCACTTGGCGCGGGACTGTCCGAGCAAGCGATCCAAGTCGACTGAGCGAGACCAGAAGAACAAGGACATCGTGTGTCACCGTTGTGGAAAGCGTGGTCACATGAAGAAGGACTGCCGAGTAAGGCTGTCGGTGTTGTCGTCTGTGGAGGGTGACAACGAGGCCGAGCCTGAAGCAGAAGAAGAGAGGGTGATCATGACCTTAGTTGACAGCACGGTTCCGGCCGAGCAGGGTAGCGCTAGTAGTAGTGATGCTCGTGATGCGCATGTACAGTTCAGCGTCCACAGTGCGCTTGCAGCGAAGCCAGCGCCTGAGGCCGACTGGCTCTTCGATAGTGGGGCCACGTCGCATATCATTTCACAGCAGTTTCTGCCACACTACTCGGTTGTGCACAGGTACGAGGGTCTTACTTGTGAGCTTAGGGCTGCTAATGGGGGTCTGATAGAGACCTTTGGCATTGCGGACGTTGAAGTGAAGTTTCCTGTCAGAACAAGAGGCAGGCAAGCTACGCGGACATTTGTGCTATCACGTTGCATCATTGCAGACACACCCTTGAACGTGTTGAGCCCTTTTGTTTTGGTCGGCAATGGTTGGTCAGCTTTGTTGGACTCGCAAGGGCCTTGTCTAAGGTACGGCCAAGGGCTTGAAGTTGCATTGCTGCTTCGTGAGAGAGCTTGGTGGGTGACAGCACGGTTAGCGAAGAAAACCGTTGACGCACAAGGGCCAAAGCCAATGGAGCTAGGCACTGTGCAAGTCCCAAAGCAGCCTCCCGGAATCTTGAAACAGAGTCCTGTGCAGAGTTTGCAAAGCATGGCTCAGACAGCGGAGGCTGGAACCTTGACGTTTTTGTTGCGTGGCTTGGTTGATATGTCTACACCTTCAGCGTGCAATGTTGGTCAAGACGGTTCTTTGCGCGTGGAGATGGTGAGAACTGCTACTGGGACAGTCGAAGAAGAAGTGTCGCAGCGTGCTTGTGGGAGTGGTCCCGGTGATGGGGCGTCGTTTGCTGAACTCGCCGTTGAGAGTCCAAGCTTGTGCGTGGCAGCTTCGAGCTCTGTTGGAGTAGCAGTCGGGT